ACTGGCTGCTTTAGAAGCTTACCTTTCGTTTTAGATTAAAACCCCTAACGTTTGTTTAACGCTGAATTTTGTTTCGGTAAATGTGACAGCGGTTTTGTTATCAGTTTGTCTTTTTATTAATTTGCTAAATGTACTGCTTTCACACTTTTAACCCACATATCAATGGCAACAGACAAGCTCAGCGTTTCGATTTCGTTTTCCACGTTCCCTCAATTATCGGAATATCACCCGAAATCAGCTTATCAGCCTGAGAGGCAGTCATTGTGTAGATTAATTTACAATACTTATATATTGCCCAATTAACTGATTGACACTTTACTTCTCTTCTTCACTTTGATAGTATAGGATAGCAGCAACAGCAGAAAAAGCGACTGAAACTCAACGAAAAAAATAGTAGGCCTAAACTTGCCGTCAAGTAGCAGCAGCAGAACAAGTGAACATTAGAAGCAGAACATGTCAATGCGATCGAACCATCGAATGCCCATTCCACTGGCGCCGCCCGACACGGGCATCATCCTGCCGAACGTCCTCGTGGAGACCATTCGCGGCCAGAGCTTCGAGGTGGGCCCCCGCTACAGCGACCTGGTGTACATTGGCGAGGGCGCCTACGGCATGGTCGTCTCGGCGACGGACAACACCAGCGCCGACAACAAGCGCGTCGCCCTCAAGAAGATCTCCCCCTTCGAGCACCAGACGTACTGCCAGCGTACGCTGCGGGAGATCAAGATTCTCACCCGTTTCCGCCACGAGAACATCATCGACATCATCGACATCGTCTGCGCGCCGACCATCGAGCGAATGCGCGACGTCTACATCGTCCAGTCGCTGATGGAGACCGACCTGGCGCAGCTGCTCCACCGACAGCAGCTCAGCAACGACCACATCTGCTACTTCCTCTACCAGATACTGCGCGGCCTCAAGTACATCCACTCGGCGAATGTCCTCCACCGCGACCTGAAGCCGAGCAACATTCTGCTGAACTCCAACTGCGAGCTGAAGATCTGCGACTTTGGCCTGGCCCGCGTCGCCGACCCCGATCACGATCACTCGGGCTTTATGACGGAGTACGTGGCCACGCGCTGGTATCGCGCCCCAGAGATTATGCTCAACAGTCGTGGCTACACTAAAGCTAGTAAGTTTTTGATAAGCTTGATAAAGGAGATTTTTACATTATTGCTAACCTCTTCCTTACCATCATTTTCAGTCGACATGTGGTCCGTAGGCTGCATCATGGCGGAGATGATGACCTCCAAACCGATCTTTCCCGGGCGTCACTGTAAGTACTAATAAAAAGGCTGCGTGTTTAAAAGACAAAATGTTGGCTAGTTTTAAATTTTGACTGTGTGAATACCTTTCCCTTTGGGCCTTTCTCTTTGCAGATCTAGAGCACCTCAATTTGATTCTCAACATTCTCGGCTCGCCGAATGACTTGCACTGGATTCAAAATCAGAGCGCCCGCTCCTACCTGCAGGGCCTGCCGCCCAAGATGCGCCGACCGTGGAGCGAGGTGGTCGGCCCGAACGCCCCTCCGCATTCCGTCGACCTGCTGGACAAGCTGCTCACCTTTGACCCGAACTTCCGCATCACCGTGGAGACGGCCCTCGCCCACCCCTACTTCGCCAGCTACTACGAACCGACTGATGAGCCCGTGGCGGAGGAGCCCTTCAACTACGAGATGGAACTGGACGATCTCCCAAAAGACCGCCTGAAGGAGCTCGTCTTTGAGGAGGCGGCCGCTTTCAAACGCCGCCAGCAGCTCACCGAGCAGCTCAACCGAGCTGCTCAGGTGCAGCAGGGAAACAGTAATGCCATGCAATCGTAAACTGCGAGTATAACTGTCCTTTGCGATCTCTTTTTCCCTCGTTTTCTCAGATTATACCTGTTTTCATTCCTCATTTCCGATTTCATTTTTATTTTTTCTGTTTTCTTCTACCATCTTCATTTATTCGTACATTCACGGATCTTTTCCTATTCTATCCTCTCAATTCGCATGATACCTCGCTTGCCTTTTCCACTCCTCTTGTCACCTCTGTCCTTTGTCCCATTTTGTCTCTTGTCTCATGTCTACCCTTCCTTCTTTTTGTCTGCCCTTTACTTTTGCCTTCTCTTCCTCATCCTCTTTTTGTGTTGTCGTCTTTATCTCCGTCTTTGCCTGTGAAACTTCTTTTGCATTGTTTTTGATTTTCCAATTGTCTGAAAGTTTTTTGTCTACAAATACTAGTTCTGAATTTCTGCTACTATTTTTCTACAATTTTTGTGTGTGTGTTTTGTTTTCATTATCTAAAACGACTGTATGTTTTTTTGTTTTGTCCTTGTCTAAATTATTTTAAATATTTTTTATTGTTAATTAACTTAAAAACATATTTTACTTGCATTTAAATTGTTCTAATTTTTACACATTTTTTTCTGTTAAACAATTTTACATTTTTCAATTTTATTTTTATTTACTCAAAATTTATTTTAACTACACGTTGGTTTCATACAAGCTGACCAAAATTTTTGTTTTTGTTTAATATTTTTTTGTTTGTTTTCTTTAACCAATTTCTAATTAATTATTGTTTTATTTTATTCATTTTAAAATATGCGGCCCTTTTTCTCAAACACATTCTGTGATTTTTTAATCATATTTTTCAAAATGCATTTGTAATTTTAATTTTAAACTATAAAAATGTTTAACATTATTAATTTTTTAAATTGACAATTATCTTATTATTGTAAAAAATAAATTTTCATAAGAAAAACAAATAAAACTTTTTGTTTTGAACTTTTAAATTTTTAATAATTTAAATTTTCTATACATTTACTAACTTTTTATGTGCAATCTAAAAATTTTTGTCATTTTAGATTAATTACCTTTATCAATCGTCTCTGTACAGTTGTGAAAAAATGATATAAAAAATAGTCAGATTAAGAATGCACTTTATTTAACGCCAACACTGACAAATTGTGCAAACAAACATGCACACATTTAGTTCACGTTTGACATTCACACATTTTTTGGCTAATTTTGTGACCTTATTGACGTTTTTGGAAATAAAAAAACACTGTTTTGGATTCCTTAGCAATTTTGTGTTTTTGTCGTTTCATTAAAGGTTAATTTAAAAACAATTTTCACAACAATTTTGGCACAAACACAAATTGGTTTTCTGATTTAGATAGCTGCAATAAGAAATTGCTCGATAATTGGTCAATCAGTTTTTGATACCAAAAAAACAAGCCTGTTTATGACACAAAAACTGCCACAACCACAATTTTTTATTAATCTTTTAAGGCAAAACACTGAATTTTTAAGTTTATTTTTTCAAAAATATATTTAAAATAAAATAAAAACTTATGTGTTAAAAACTTAGCAGTTTAAGTTTATTAATTTTAAAAACAAATAACGTTAGCAAACGCTGATTTAGTAATAAAAATTACTAAATTATCATTTTGTCTAATTTCATCAATTTTCAAACTAAAATTTTAAATTTTGCAAATAAAAGTTTATATTGCAAAAGCATATTAAATTTTTTTGATGTTATACATTTTCAGCAAATAATAAAAAGTTTTAATTATTTGTTTTTAACTTACAGTTTGAGTCAATTTTTGTTTAAGCATCTGTAGTATTTTAAATACTTGATTTTGTTTTTGGTTTCACTAACTCATTTTCACTTTGCATAGCTTATTTACAGCTAATCAAGTTAGAGCGCCCTTAAGCGTCAATTAACTATTAATAGTTCCGTTGCACTGTATATCGATTATTAACTGATCAACAGCTGTTGTTGATCAGTTTTTTTTCAACTGCAAAGAACACACACTTTTTCTTTTACTATCTGACCGATACAGTTTTAGTAACTGCTAATGTCTTTCTCTCTTTTTATATTTTAGTTTAACTCGGTTTTTGCATGTGCACATTGGTCGCGGCACGCGTCATTTTAGGTATTAGTACAAAAATGTTTAATTAGTGGACACGTTGTAAGATAAAAATGATACTTATTTTGATTTTTGTCCAGTTTTTTTTTCTCTAGCTAGCACCGCTAGTAGACAAAACGGAAAATGCAAAGTAAGCACATTGCTTAAAAAATTAGTGATTTGGTGAAAATGTGTGAGTGTCAATGAGCGAAAAACATTTTTTTTAACATAAACAGTAATCTGCTATGTTTTAAAACTAATACAAGTTTAAATAAAAAAGTGAAAACGCATATTTTTTAGTGCTGATTTGTGATTTGAACAAAAAGTTTTGTATTTATGCAAGCCTACATCCTAGCCAACTTGTGTTTTTTGTTTATCATTTTCTCGGGCAAGTTAATGGGCACCTTGCACTGGCCTCTATCAGGCACTGGCAATTATCACTTTTTGCTTGTGTTTGAGCAGCACAACTGCTAATTAATTGGCTTATTGTGCCGGCAAAACACTGAGGCATCGGAGGCATCTGAACAACTAAGGTGGGCATTGATTTGGCAGTTATCAACGACAGCACTTGCAAATCTATTGGCACTGACCATCATCGGACAGAAAAAGTGAATGTCTGAGTGTGCGCCTGTTGTGTAAAGGTCTAATCAGTGGCACGACAGCAACAACAGCATCAGTGCAATCCATCCAGTGATAATGTGCTTTGAGATGGTCAAAAGCGCAAAGGTTAGGATGCGCGTGCTGCATCAATTGCGATGTACTTCTGTTCACACTGTTCAATTTCGTGCGTTCCGTGTGGCGCCAGTGTGACCATCACCCTTGCCAAGTCTTTATCTTCCCGTTCTAGTTCGTATCTTACAACTCTTTGACCACCTTTTGCCCTTTCTATCATTATGCCACGAGTTTTGGGTGCCAACTGCTCAGTCTGCTGCTGCTGCTTTTTTTACTTTTGTTGTTAATAAACAAAACTAAATTAAAGATCTGATGACCATCTTAACTTACACAAAGTTTTGTTGCGCGTGNGTGCCACGAGTTTTGGGTGCCAACTGCTCAGTCTGCAGCTGCTGCTGCTGCTTTTGTTACTTTTGCTGTTAATAAACTAAACTAAATTAGAGATCTGATGACCATCTAAACTTACACAAAGTTTTGTTGCGCGTGTACCATCAGTTCTGTTGATTACTGTGCCGGCGGGGTCACCATTTGCAAGTTGCCATCATCAAATGAAAGTATTTCCTTTTGCCAGCCGAAAGCGAACGTGAGGGCATTCTAAGAGCTAAAAGTGAAACAGACACAGTTCGCTTGTGCCCTCCAGACAGACCAGTGGACAGGTAGATGAGGATGACTAGCCAACTCACCGACTCTGTCTGACTGATCACTCAGTGTTCGACTGTCTGTCTGTCTGTTTGGATGAGCAATTGTGAGCACTAATCTAGTTTGTTGCTGTTGCCCCTGTGGGCGCCTCCGTCTGGCGGCAGCCAGAAANCGCCTCCGTCTGGCGGCAGACAAGAGAGAGAGAGAGAGAGAGAGAGAGAGAGAGAGAACAAAAATCTTCCGGCTACTCCCTTTTGCAGACACTACTACTCCCTGACACTTTTTTCACCTGTTTTTTACAACTACAAACCTGTTTAAACAACAACTGTTAATTCTGATTTTTTGCGTTTTTAGCTATTAGTACATTTGTTTGCCTTAACTGATTTTTTAAGTTAATTTTTTTACAAAGTCAGTTGATATTTTTAATTTAATGTTTACATGACCAAAATAAGCAATCGATTTTATATTTGTTTTTACATGTAATGATCCTACTCATTAGCAGTTCATGCTAAATAGCAGAAAAAATTTAGTAGGAATTTGGTAAAGTGTACAGATCAAAATACGCACTACTAATAACCGTATTGCTCTTTAACACGCACTGCACTAAAAGGCAGCGGTTGGGTAAGTGAACTATTTATTTTTACACCGTCAAATAGTGTGCGAGTACCGGAAACTAAAAGCAAAACATAAACACTAACGATTGCTACCAGTTTTAGAAAACTATACTGACGGTTTGTATCGTTTCATTAAATAAAAGTTGTGTGCTAATATTCTCTACAAAATATTGAATTTTGTTACTATTTGATCAGTTTACCGTAAATGGCAATAACTGCGATGGCAATTTTAATAAACAGTTTGACGGCGGTTATTTGACCATATAAGCATACGGGCAAATTCATAATCAAAAAGGCGTTTGTGTCATTAACTGATACATTTAAAGTTAAAAAGTTTAGTTAGTGATACTGTACGTTTGAGGTCAAGTTTACATATTTAAAAAATATTAAATTTACTTATCAAATATGCAAAAAATGGATGCATTAAATTTGGTAAAATGTCAACAATTTACAAACGGGAAACGGTGTTTGGTCAATTTTTAGATTTGTCAGTTAAATGTGAAAATGTGACATTATTTTTAAGCTTTATGTCAAAATAGATGTCAACTCCAGTATATTTGCTTTTTGATAAAAAAACATTTTTGTTTTGTTTGGTGAATTGTTTTCTCCATTTTTGCTTTTCTTGGCAGTACTGTTTTACTTCTTGGCACAGTACATCATTGCACATTATTAATGCCTATTGACACTTTTTTGACATACCCTACACAACAACGCAAATGTACTGGCAGAAAATTTTGGTAAAATTGAAAGAAAAACTGAATGAAAATCAACTAAAAAAGTTGTAAATAGAGCAGTGGATTAATGGCCGGCCAGCAAACAAACACTGAAAACAAACAGTGAAATCAGTTTTACTACCAGTCAGCAAAATTTGGCTTGCCACAAAATGGCATTGACATTGCCAGTATTTGAGCCCCATTGCGGTTTTCTGAATCCCCTTTTATGTTGCTCTTTTTGTGTGTCTGTTTGTGCCAGCAAACAGTGATTGC